CTCTCTCTCTCTCTCTCTCTCTCTCTCTCTCTCTCTCTCTCTTTCGCTGTCTCTCTCTCTCTTACACTCTCTTATGTTCTCGTTCTCGCTCCTCTCTGCCTATCTCTCTGCCCGTTTCTTTGTCACCGATGGTCGTTGTTCGCGCATTGGTTGACTCTCCTGAGCTCGAAAATCATTTGAGTAAAAGTAAAGCCAATGTCCAAAAGTCCAATCCGTTCGGTATCGGGCCGAGCTCGAGTCTCTTGTGTCACCAACGAAAAAAACTGATTGCGATAACCATCAACGTGTTACAAAATTATGAAAATATGTATGTCTAATTTTCGGTTTTGATTTCCTGTGTGTCTCTATCTATATCACTCTTCCACGCCGTATTTGTTTTTCGGTTATGTTTGTGTATGTTGGTCATCCTATGTTCATTCTACTTTGATCTATCTCGTCTTCGAGCAAAATAAACATGTCAACGAAAATAAAAGAGAACCAACGCCGTAAACCCAAAATAAATAGACACATTGAACGCAATCGTGATTACTGTTTAAACAAACTGACAAAAAAATATGCTAAAAATAGGCGTAAAGTGTCGGAAACACACACTAGCACATTGAAATAAACATCCATAAATCAAGAGCGACTGAGAGCACGCCGATATTTCCGAGCCCATGAAGAAAAATTCAAGCGGTCAATTTGAACATATCAACGACGATCGAAAGGCAGCAACAACGCCTTTTGAAACATTGCACAATTCTATGCACATGAGCAACGAAAGAAAAAAAACCAACGAATTTTTCGGACGGGCAAAAATGCCGACGAGATTGCAATCGATTTCCGTTTATGTTGCTGCACGACTTGACTGCAGTGTATGTGTATATTGATTTAGAGCAAGTGTTCGGCTCTATTCTAATTCGCCTCTTGATTTTACGCTGCAAGCCACAACAAAATGATCATATGTATTGAATATTGCTTTCCACGCGGCAACATATTCCATCAATATTTTCATGTTTGCATCCACAAATCGCTTCGGCTTTTTCATGTACCGTTAGAAAACTCCGATTTTTTTTCTATACATTTCATATGCACCCACTTAAGAACTCAATCTCGATTTTGGATCGTTTATTTTTCCGCCGTTCCGACACCGCCTTTTAAAGACCAAATACTCTTTTGTATACAAAATAGAAGTGCCGTAATTGAATTTGAAACACATTCCCAATAGGCATTTTCTGTTTCTCTTCGTTCCGTAAATTGGATCGACGATCGAAGGGAGAATAAGAGTCGAATTCTTGAAATATTCAAGAGTTTCGATGGAATATGTTTGAATTTTGGACGAAATTCTACGCTTAAGATTCTATTTCCAGAAAAATTTCGGCGAAAAAACTGAATTTTCAAAGAATTGAACGAAAGACTGGATTTTGAGACCAATTTCAAAACAAATAGTATTGATTTGTAGACGAAATTACAATAAAAAACGTAAATAACATTCACCAAAATGAATTGAAGGACAAAAAATGCGAGGTGTTCACGCATTTGAAACCATTCAGATGTGGTCAGGTATATCTTATCAATGTTCATATCGATTTGATGACTTTTCACTGTTTGTTGTCGACTTTGTTCGCTCATTGTGTTTTCTATAAATATTTTACTGCATCGTATGACGATGAAGGCATTGAAATTTGTATTATCGTACGCACTTATCTAATCACATCGATCCATCGTCAAGAGGGAGAGAGAGCAAAAGAAGAAGAAGAGAAAAAAAAACATGCGAAAATGACTACGATGGGCGATTGAGTCAATTGATTGTGAGCGTACACAATTTCATCACGTTTTGTCATCCGTCATACGATACGACACTTCTTCTTCTTGCTATTGTTATTATTTTCATTGGGTTGTTGTGTGTACATCGGTTGTTTATATGCTCAAATGCGAGTGCGTTGTGTCAGCTGATGAATATGCTGGTCATTTGCGTTAATTAAAATTGAAAAATTGTGTTCGTGCCACGAGCAAAATAAAACCATCAGAACACACACATGCTGCGGCAATAACAGTTTATGATGTTGTTGTTGCTGCTTTTTTTTCTGTCAGTTTAACTGCAAAGCGATTATGCCAATTTAAGCCCGTGATGATGATTGACTCATTAAACGGAACATGCGATGGGTTAAGTCGCTCAGCTTGCTCCCGCTTGCTTCAGCCGTACGCACAACTTTATCATGTGAACTCTGAGCTCCTGTTTGTATGGTCGCATGATTACGAATAAAATTCATGATTTATTTCGTCGAAATGTTTTTTCCGCTGACAGCACTCGCGACTATTTCGCGTTTTTTTTTCTTGCGCTTCGCCGTTTCTACTTCTCTCCTCTCTCTTTTTCTTCTTCCCCGAATCCATCTCTATCTCTCTTTCTCTCAGAGTTTGTCTCTATCTCTTCGTCCGTCTCGCTCTTTCTATTTTCGGATATTTGTCTCGAAAATCCGACGTCGCTTTTGCGAAAACTGACACATAATTAAAAAATTTCACTTTTCGCTACCGTTTCGCCAAGTGATTATGAATGAAACCAACGAGAAAAAAAGCACACCATGCCGTGCGACATAATACGACACCCGTAAAAATGATCACAATGTTCGTTTTTTTTCGGTTGGTCGTTCATTCGTTCAGTCTGCCGGCTCAAGTTTCATGTAATATTACACATTTGACATGTGACTCTATGAAAAAATTTCGCTTATAACTTTTCGTTTGTTTTTTTTCTATTTTCAGTGCTACGATCCAAGCCATTTCAGCCTATTTGGATGCGTTCCAGAAAATTGCAGACGCTGCCACCAACTCAAGAGGTAATTTATATCATTCATAAAAGTCTTTTCCCTTCGGAAATTTATTATACGGTGTATAAAATCGGGTAACTGTCACACAGTTTCGATTGTTGTTGTTCTCACCGTTGTGTGTCCTTTGGCTTCTCGACTTTTCCTGCGCTTTTTTCGTATGCCGGCTGTAGATTCGGCGCTTACTTTTGGTCTTAGCTTCGTATTTGACGCTTGCGCTTGCTTTTGCTTTTGGATTCGGCCTCGACTTTGGATCGAAATTTACTTTGATTCTGGCTTCGCCTCGCGGACAGAATGTGACACAGGAAACCCATTACGTTCGAATGAAAACGAATAAATTGTACGACACAGGGAAAAATGGGAACCCATCACCCTCTCTCCCTCCCATCCTCGAATAGACAAATAAACAAATCTAACTAATCAGGCGAATCGAATAAATCTTCCATGCAACCATAGCCAGAGAGAAAGAGAGAGAGCGAGAGAGTCGTTGTCGGTAACACAAAAATATGTTCGCTATGAAATTATTGAATCAGTCATAAAACACTTTGACCAACCTAAACGCCTTCGCATTCATTTCATCCATCCGTACACAATGTTTGCGAATTGGAAAAGACGAGAGGAAAAAACAGTAATGCTTTCGCAAAACCATCAAAATTGGCGGGCGAGCCACAGAGTGTACTCACGAATCGATAACGAATGGGCGATAAAACAAGCCAAACAATATGCGTCAAAGCATCATGACTGCTTTTTTAATCTATTTCGTCGACTTGGATATATTTATAGGTTGTAGCGTCTGTGAAAAAATTGTTCGTTTTTTTTTTGTGTGTGTGTCTATTGGACATCCGTTGTAAGAAGCGTGTATTTTCTATTTGTATGATATGTGATTCCTGTATTGCCAACCGATTTGAAAAATTTTCTTCGTAAAACGTGAAAGAGAGAAAGAGAGTAAAAATGATCATAATCATTGAAATTTTGGCTCATGCACTCGATCAACCGATTTATTGACAGGCTGACGACTTGCCAATAGCCTATTACTAAGATTAACTGGCCACCCGATCAAAGTAAACGCATCAAACTGACAGCGAATTGTTTAATAACAAGAGAAATAAACCAGAACAAAAATAGAAAAATACAATAAATAAAACCCAAATGAACCAGGACAAAATTCAAATTCCATTCAAAAATCAGCATACTTTGAATCAAATTCGAGAATAAGAATAACAAAAATTAAGATTAAGAATGAGAATAAAATGAAATTTACGAACAATAATAAATATTGCAAAGAAAGAAAAGACTGACTCAGAAATGTCACGGAAATTATTGGGGTGATGAAATCGTCGAGAGGCACACATTAAATTGATAAAAGCGAGCAATTTGAATTGATTTATGTGAAAGACAGTCAGATTATGTGCCCATTTATGGCGAATATTTGCGATAGCGATGTTAAAATTGAGTGCAAACGTTCAATATCACCAATCGAATATGTGTCATTTTTTCGGTATAAATCGTTGCTTCGATTGTGTGTGTGTGTGTGTGTTTACAACTGAAAATTGCACTTCTCCAGCCTATTCAAGCTTATCAAATGAGTGAGAGTTTTGTCGATTTGTTCCCATTTTTTATTTTTTTCGATCGTTCGTTGGTTCGTTCTTCGTTCGCACGAATTCGCATTTGGCCGTAAAAGTCAGTGATGTCATGAGCACGACTGTGTGAAAAATGAAAAAGAAACCGACAACTCAGTTTTGTTTAGCATGAGAATGGGAAAATGTGTGTGTACACGAGAGACACGTCAGAAAAATAAAGAACACAGAAGAAGTTGAGAAGAAAAAAAAAAACGGAGAAGCAAATATCGAAAGCGAGTACGTTCATTGTGCTTCATTCTATTTTGTCACACATATGCCAATAACTGTCAAATGCTTGTATTTAGATTGTTTGACTTTCCTTTCCGCCGCACATTTTCCACACATACCCAGCCTGCTGCCGATGATGATTTGTCGCAGTTTGTTATTTTCACTCTCTCAATGACTCTCTCTCTTTCTTTTTCTCCGACACTTTCTGTCACTCTCTGCCTCCCGTGCCGTCGGTCACAAAGAAATTCATTGAACGACGTTCCATGCTGTACCGCACCGCTACGGTGCCGGGAAATCTGTGCAATATTGTTGTTTCATTGCTTTCCGAATTCGATTCCAAAATCATCTTTATGAAGTTATTGTTACCTTAAAAGCGCAGCTCAATAGAAAGTATGGCAGATACGTTTCTTTTCGGTCGATTATCCCAAAGAATCGATAACTCGATCCGAAAAGTCACATACGCCCTCCGAAATGTATGCCTTTGTAAGATGGCTTTGCACTTATTCAGTTTTTTTGCTTTGTCTTTTTCTTTTGTCCATTTTTCTCCATCTATCCCGCTTTCGCTGTCTATTTCTGATGTTTGCTCTGTCTCCTTCTCTCTTTTTCTCCTTTTCTCTTTCTCTATCTCTCTGTCTATTTGTCTTTTTGCTCGCTCACTCTTGCACTTATTTCACTAGCTGGCTGATAGAGTAGCGATTGATATTGGTTCCGTTCAAGCAAAATGCCAAATAGAAAATGCACGGTTTGCCGAGGCGAGAATGATATATCTGAACGGAATGGAGTGCTGTTCCAAAAACAGAAAGAAACATACATATTTCCTTGTCTTTTTCTACGTAAATATTTACTGATTGAGTGCCAACATATAGCGATTTAACTTGCGCAAACATGTGGCTATTGCCCAAGCCCAAGCCCATCGATTCAAAAAGAAATTTATCGAAGAAATTGAACATTGAAAAGCAAACTGAATGTGCTCAGGAAAATGAAATGGGTTCCCCTATTGAAAGAATCGAGGAAAAAAATGAACGAAAAAGCACCGTTTCTCCGAATGGAAAACAAATATCCACTTTTCGAATGGTAAAAGATTTAAAATTGCATTGGTTGAACACTTGCTGAGTCTCCGATTCAAGCCATAGTTTAGTGGCGTATTTAGCCTTTTGGCTATCAAAATCGAACCAGTTTTCGGCTGAAATGGCATTAATACCCGTTTTGATGTATATTCGAGTGGAAAAAAGCGAGCAGACTGTTTGAACCCAATAAAAATAAAAAAAGAATTACATTGGTAATCCCGAACTTTTCCGTACCGTTGGCCTGCGTTGTCTGTAGGTACTTTTGGTTATTTTTTGTGAATTTTCTTGAAATAAAGGCAGCGAAGATATAATAATAAAAATAAAGTGAAAAATCGGTCACTTTAACTAAAACTTCGACAATTTTGTATGAGAGGTAACCAATTCCTATTGGCTTCAAACTTTCTGAGGTTTCATTTTTTGGAGAAAAAACAAGATTCTGAAAGTTTCATGTTGATCCCATTTGCAGAAGTTTGATTTTTTGTCCTCAATTTTTGTCGAAATTTTCTTGGAAAAAATTGAGGGCCAAAAACCAAACTTCTGCACATGCGATCAACATGAAACTTTCAGAATCTTATTTTTTCTCCAAAAAATGAAACCTCAGAAAGTTTGAAGGCAATCAGAATCGATTAACGGGTACCTCCCATACAAAATTGTCCAAAAATCGGTAATTTTAGTCAAAATTTCAAAAATTTTGTATGGGAGGTACCCGTAAATCGATTCCGATTGGTTTCAAACTTCCAGAATCTTATTTTTCTCGCAGAAAATGAAATCTCAGAAAGTTTGAAGCCAATCGGAGTCGATTTACAGGTACCTCCTATACAAAAGTGTCAATTTTTTGAGGTTTTTCTTAGGGCAAGTACCCCAGGATCAAATCCAAAATGGCTCATCTTCGAACTTAAACTAAGTTTTTCGAATACAAAACTTTTGGCATTTCCAGATTTTGATTATCTCAATTATTTTTTGAGTTATCGTGTTAACACACACCAACGACGACAACGACGACGGCACACGAACGGAAAAGTGTCTCAAAAAGTGGTTTTCTACGCGTTTCATGAGTTTTTATGATGATCTAAACCAATTTTGCGAAAAAAGTTTTCGGGACCAATTCCTATACTTTCCCTTGACACGTTGTGTACGGAAAAGTAATATGCTCATTTTGAATGATGCAAATGTGTGCTCCTGAACAAGCGCAAGTTTTTTTCTTTCTTTCCGAACTAATGCACTTTTAATAAATGAACCAATTGTCCTCATTTTAAGGTTCTAAAGTGGATCTCTTTTTATTTCTAACAGAATTTTGCCCGAAGATTCTTTCGATTCGAAGCAACGCAGAAAAAGAAATGAATCCAAAACAAAAACCGCGAAAACCATAAATCCGAATGGAAACATGTATAATTCTTTATTTCAGTTGATTAAATCATAAAAAGTGCATTAAGCGCAGCTAGGAAATGTTCTATACTTCAGTTTGGTGTTCGTTTATGTGAAGTGAAGTGCACACCGAATGGAAATATATAGCGCACGAAATTGTGTGCTGCAAAATAGAACAAGAAAGAGAGGAAAAAAACGAACAGAAGTAGTGTATTTTAATTCACCACAAATAGAATATCACACACACAGAGAGAGAGATGGGCGCGCAGGGCTGGAAAAGCGGCAGAAAAAGAAGTGAGAGATGGATCTAAATTGCTGAATATAGTGCATTTAAATGACTAATAAATGGGATAGTGAAGTGAAGTTTGACGTAAAAACGTACAACTAAATGATATCATAGAAACGTAATTGGTGCCCGCTCGCGCGCGCGCACACACACACACACAGACCGACTGCATCGCGTTCAACAGCAAACAGCGGTCCACTTTTTGATTTTGCTGCATATTGCGCGTACGATGATTATTTGTATCGTTTCAAGACTCTTTTGCTGCTTTTTTCTTCTCTTTCTCGCTCTCTCTTTTTCGCCCTATCGCTCTATCTCGCTCTCGCTCGCACCCATTCTGTTTTTCGTTCGCACTCTCTCTCTCTCTCTCTCTCTCTCTCTAATTCCCTCTGCTTTTTCTCTCCTTTCGTTCTCTCGCCGGTTTGGAAAAAAAAACAATTCGTGCCCATA